ATCCCATGAGTGTAATACACCTGATGACCAGCTTGGCATGTAGCGGAGCTCCCAGTGAGAGCCTATAGTTTTGGACAGGAGAAATGAAACAGCCCAGAACCTTTTTTCTGCTGTAGGGGATAAAAATGAGACACATAGCCCTATTTCCCATTGTAATCCATGCCCTTATCTACCCCTTTTTTGGAGAGCAATAACAAAAGAAGGAGAGGACAAGTACCAGGCAAGGCAAGCAACTGGCTCTAGGAAAATAGATGCAATAGTGGGAGGGTGGATTAGTTTTCTATTGCGTAACAACCATATTACAAATGTAGCAGCTTAAAACACTATCCATTTATTATCTTGAAGTTTCCATGGGTCTGGAGTCTGGGCACAGGTCCACTGGGGTCCTCTGCTCAGGGTCCCAGTTGTCTGCAGTCAAGGTTTTCGTTGGGGCTGAGTTCTCATCTGAGGCCTGGGGGCTTCCCCCAAGCGCAGTGGTTGTTGGCAAAACGCATTTCCTTGAACTTGTAGAACGGAGGCCGTCTGCTATTACTGTCTGCCATTATTTGCCACTCAGCCTTCTCTACAGTGTGGCGGTTTGTTTCTTCAAGGGCGACAAGAAAATTTCTCTGCTGCTGCTTGTCTTTTTTTTTTTTAAGGGCTCACCTGATTAGGCTAGATACACTCAAGAAAATTATCTTTTTGATTAACTCACAGTCACGGGAATAGGGATCTCAAAATCTCCATTGCCATATAATGTAACATAATTCCCAGGTTCCACCTACACTCAAGGGGGGTGGGGGACAACACAGGGTACACACACAAGAGGACAGGAATCTTGAAGGCTCTCCTAGAATTCCGCCTACCACAGACGGGCCCCTGATGTATCCAAATAAGCAGAGGAGAAACTCTTGCTTCTCTTTGTAGCATTTTTATGAGGAAGAACATTACTGGGAGTACTAAGCCCACTAGCTCTCATGGCTGAGCCATGGTGTAACTGTTAAACAGGGAAGAGAAGGGTGCAGAGTGCATGTGAAGATGTCTGACAACTTTGAAATGGCAGTGGTGCAATGAGCTTATGAATGAGTGTATTAAACTTTCATTGAACTGTTACTTACAGAAAGGAATACATTTTTTTTTTTTTTAAGAAGGAAAGTGGGAGTTTTCCCTGGAAGAGCTCCATTAGTGCCTGTATGTCTGCCTCCAGTGGACACATAATACTAGTTAATGCTCTGTAACCAAAGGACAAAACTGAAAGCAAAGGGATTAAAGAGTTTTCCTTCCCTTCCCCGTCTAAGAGATAAACACAATTGTAGCAACTGATGAGTAAAATGTTTACCTGCTAATGCGTGGCAGAAATCCATTATAGCTTCTCCACAGATAAAGAAACAGACTGGATGGGGAGAGGTAAGGATTCCCAGCCCTGAATGCTGTCATTGAGAGAGCTGGGTCTTCCTAGGAACTGTGACTTGGCTGACTGTGCTGGAACTTGTGTTAGTCTTTGCATCTATGAATCCACAACCCTGAGCAGCAGGCAGAGTGTTGCAGCCCAGAAACTCGGTGCTGCCTTGCCCAGTAGGCACAGCAAGAATGTGTTTATGGCATCAGCAAGTCAGGGGTACCTGAAAAATGCTTTTTTCCCCAAATAACTTTGTATTTAATATTTAATAACGAAGAAAGAGAATTTTACAGAACTTCTTTACATTTGTTTTGTGATTGCTAATTTATGCTTTAATTTGGGATTAACCTGTGCAGAAAGGTGGAGTTGGAGAAGTGGAGACTATGACCTTTTTGGTGTTAGGGCCTTTAGAAGTCTAGAGGTCTTAGACTATCCCTCGGGAATGGTAGAATAGTAGAACACAGGAGTCAGCCAGAGGTCTCTTCTCCCAACCTCCTGCCTCCAGGCAAGATTACATCTAAACCGTTTTCCCACAAAACCAGAGAACAGATGCTCCAGGAGGGCAAGGATTCTTGTGGGTTTTGTTCTGTGCTGTATCCCAGCACCCAGCACTGTGCCTAGGACATAAGAGCTATCTGGAAAACATCCCAGGTGTGGATAGAGGTTTTCATTTGCAGCGGTCTCTTCCCTCCTACCGTGTTGCCCGTCTCCTTTCACTCATAAGATCCCAAGGCATCATCACTTAACGTTCTGTGCTTCTCACATATGCCTCATGATAAAAACTAATCTGAGGCACTTTTCAAGTACAGAGATTACTAGACCTCTGTTGGAAATTCTGGTTCAGGAAGTCTAGGCCGGAGCCCAGGAATCTGTGTTTCTGACAAGCACTTCTGGTTAAGTCTTTTCTTCAGATGAACGCTGAAATAAATAGCAGGAGCCCAGCTCTTCCCCACACTGAGGTTAAGGAGCCATGATCACTTGACCATGGTTTCTGAGGGGCTATCAAAAGTTAACATCCTGAGCTGCTCGTCAGTGGTGCTATGGGAATGAGGGGCTATATAGCCTTCTGATCTATCCCCAAGTCACCTGGACCCAGCCCTGAATCCTGGCTCCTACCTTCCTGAAAGGATGGGCCTGGGAGAGGAGGTGCTCAGGAGTCCCTCTATTCCTAGAACTGCCCACTGAGCTTCTTGGCCTCCTCTTTTCCCCAGACAAGCTCTCCGTTCAGTCCCTTCTTCCAGCTGTCATGAGCACATGAATTCCCACCTGCCTCTGTTAAGTCTGCTAATGACCTCTGCATGCAGGCAGGGGCTGACTTTTTAGTCAATCTTGGTCACTGAACCAGAGCATTTCTCCAAGGGTGGCTAAATAAAGCCTCTGTCTCAGCACTTCCCCTACTTTACATGGGAGAGGAGGGAGGCTCTGATCCAGATGTGGCCTGCCCTTTCTACCCACCTCATGTGAGGCCTGAAGAGGCTGGTCTCTCCCTCAGGGATTCCTCCCAGGGTTTCTTATCCCCAGGACTCAGTGACCCCTGATTGGTTCACCAAGCACTTACAGTTTACAAGGAAAGGGTTGAAGTTATAGAGTAACTCAAGAAAGAAAAGTTGCTGCCTTTATGCTTGGCCCCACAGAACTTTGCCCTAAGAATACTCTCCCCTACCCAGGGAGATCATCCTGGGATCTCTAACCCTTGGGCCTGAATTTCTTCTTGGAGATTAAACACCAAGGAAGAAAACAATCTAGGTCAAAGGGAGTAATCTGCTCTGTAGTTGAAGGTGAGAGAATAGAACAGAGTATTTGTTTATGGTTGTCCAGTAGAATAGCTACCTATAGCTGTTTAAACTTAAATTTTTAAAAAATTAAAAATTGTTTAATAGCCAGTGTGGCTAGTGGCTACCACATTGGATGGCACAGCTAATAGGGCATTTAATCATCACAGAAACTTCTTTTGGATGGCACTGTTTTAGAGGTATGGCATTGTCCCTTTGACCCTGTCCATGTGATGTTTCTTTAGCATCTTGGGAAATATGTCTTTGTTTCTATTGGCAGTCTTTGTGGTTATGATGCATTATTCTAGGGAAAAAAACCCCACTATTGAAGACTGCATTAGAAAACAAAACCAAAACCAAAAATAACTGCCATAAATGTAGTACTGGGTGGGAGGGATTAATTATCCAAAGGTTGTATTTTCCCCAGTTTTTTCCTATTTTCCTTCTACAAAACTATCGTTCCTCCTTTTCCATTTGCCTTTCTGCTTTATCTGTAGATTATCTGGTTCTGTGCAAGGTTTCCCAGACAAGTGAAATGATAAACCAGACTTCAAAAAGAAAAGGATCAGAGAAGAACCAAAAATTTGTTTGGGGCACAGGAATAAATGGTTGGGCAGAACACCCCCAAATCACACACTGGGGGAAAGAGGGAAAGCAGTGGAAGGAGACGAGACTGGGAGGAACAGGGGTCTGGTCTGGATAGCAGGCCTGGCAGGTGAAGCACTGGGGGCCAGTTCTCACCATTCCTGAGGCTGGCAAGCTGCCCAGGCGCTCCGGAATTCCTCTGTGCAGTAATTTCCTAACCAAAATCTTCCTGCTTAGAACCATTTCCTCCCATAAGAATTTGTCTTCAACTCATGGTGGATCTCCATCCTAGACTCAGTGTGTGCATAAAGACGACCTTGAGCTTAAATGCTGTGTTTGCGGGAAAGAGGCCTCCTTCCCTACGAGTTGCAAGGACGGTACACCTCTTCTCACCAGCGCTGTCTGGTTTCCTCACTGAACCCCTGGGACCTCTGTAATGGGCTCTTCAGTGCATGTCCTCTCCCCTGCATGAAACTAGGGAAGCTGAGCAATGCTTCGAAAGACAGCAGGCGATGGAGTCGGCAGGTGATAGGCAGGGTAAGGTGAAACAGTGAGGGTTGGGGGCCCAGGGTCACAGGAGACAACAAAACAGGGGAGAAGCAAAGTTCAGGTGGGCATCAGGAGCAGGTGTACAGAAGTATAGTTCCAGGCCCTGTGGCCAGAAGACTGGAGCTGGGGTGACCTTTTTGACTCATTCCTGAGGCTTTTGTCTGCATGCTTTCTAAAAAACGTTCATTTATTTATTTGGGGGAGGGGAGGGGCAGAGAGGGAAGAGAGAAAGAATCCCAAGCAGGCTTGATGCGGGGCTCAAACTCACGAACCGTGAGGTCATGGCCTGAGCCGAAATCAAGAGTCAGACACTTAACCGACTGAGCCACGCAGGCGCCCCTCTGCATTCTTGGAAGGCAGGACCTCCCATGCCACCCCCTAAGCAAGGCTGGCCAGGAGTTTGTCCAGGTTGATGAGTGACTGTGTCAGAGAGCATAAAATGAAAGGTGTGGAGAGGATGTTAGCTGGTCACAGGCAGATGGTTGGTGTCCTGGGGTCTCCCATCCCTTAGCTCGGGGGCAAAGGGTGTCTTTTTCCATACTGTAAGCCACAAACCTTTCCCCAGCCTTGTGTGAGTTCCTGATGTGAATGCAGCAGTCTGGACTTCCACTCCACACAGATTCCCTGCCCCTGCCCCCCTCCCCACCCAGGGTCTGCCAGATGCACAATTTAAAGCTTGTGATGTATAACACCCCGTTTCTCTCTCTGTCTCACAGCCGTCTCCAACCTGGACATTGAGAGTAAGCTGAGCGTATACTACCGCGCCCCGTGGCACCAGCAGAGAAACATTTTCCTCCCGGCCACGAGGCCGCCCTGCGTGGAGGAGCTGCACCGCCGTGCCCGGCAGAGCCCGCAAGCCCTGCGCAGAGGTGACTGATTCCGGGATTGGGGGTGTTGATTTTCAGGGAGAGGGCAAGGAGCTTGTCCATCTGAGGCGGGGGGGGGGGGGGGGGGGGGGGGGGGGGGGGGGGGGGGGGGGGGTTCTTTCTCTGTGCTATCAGTTCCGGCACCATCCCTTGTTACACAGCAAGTACTTCGAAATGATCCCTTTTCTACCCTGAAATGAAATTCGTGGGTAATTATATACATAATTAAAAATAGCATGATCTGAATATGATAATAAAAAGAATTTCAAAGGAAAATTATTTCTGATATTTGCAGTATACAATGCCTGGGCACGACTGCACTAGAAGACATAATGAAGCAGTCAGATGTCTGTGCCTATCAAAAGTAGGTTTGGATTAAGTCAAGACAATCAGAAGCCATTCTGAACAAAAAGTAGAGGGAAATGAAAGGGCAGAGGACACAACCATAAAAACTGGTATGTTCTGCATATATTAAGCATGAGCAAAAAAAGACTAGAAAAAAAAACCTTTGGATTATAATTTAAAGAGAATTAGATTTGACTCAGAAATAGGTTCTAGGCTTTTCTGTTACAGGAAATTCTGATAGGACATTTGTGGGACCTAGAGCACTATTTCATTGTTTAGGAACATCCTGTGCATTGTAGGAGGGCTGTCGTCCTTGGCTCCTGCCTAAACCTGCCCCCCTACCCCCTGCCCCAGGGGATCCCGCTCCTGTTGAGAACCATTCTACAGCGGAGTGAGTGGCAGCTTGGAGAAGTCCGAAACCTCGCTTAGGGTCACACACAGCCCATTTAGGTAGAGTGCCAAGACTCAGAGCCAGGCCTCCAGACCCCCGGCCAGAGCTCTTTTCCTCCTCACCATACACTGTGTCCTAGGAAAATAAATATTTCTCTTTCTCTTTCATTCTGAGAAAGCCAGAGACAGGCACAGAACAAAGTAGAAGATAACAGCCTTCTCTTACCTTCCAGGGGCTCAAAACCATTCTAATTAGGACAAGGAGATTAAAAACTGGGATCACCCTTTTAGAGACCCCTAAATTGGGTATGAGAAGTTGGCATGCGAGCTTTTTCGGCCTTTAGATTTTCGCTGTGGAGACAGATGGTATCTGTACATTCAATGTCTTTTTTCCAAATTCCCTATGTTCCTTTAAGGAATGGTATTTTCCAAAATCATTACAATTCAAATAAAATAAATAATGTCGCTAGCAGGATGGAGAAATGACAAATTTGTTTTCAGCTTATTTTCTTCCACATGTGTATGACTTCTCCCTTTTCCCATATCCCTGTGTTCTCCCCCTTTAATGAAAGAATTAACCTACTAATATCCCTAACGCAACTGTTGCTAAAAATGCCCCTTGGTTATTAGTAGCAGATACTGTGACACTTAGGATGAAGAGTGATGATGGGTATCCTCTAGAGGTATCTCTGGCCTTCTTACTATTGACTGATTTTTAAAGTTGAGTCACTTCGATTTTATGGTTGGCTGAAAAGTCCTTCTTTACCAAATTTTTAGTGCAGGCCACCTTCTGGAAATCTTCCTTAACATACTCCCCATTCCTTTGCAGCCTCGATTAGGCCCCTTTCCCCTAATACTATCCTTTGACTCCTCCCAATCGTGCCACTTACAAGCTTATAACTAACCTCTTACAAGCCTATCTCCACTCTTAATCCATGAGCAACTGAAGAGCTAGGATGAGATCTTATTCATTTTTATTCAAAGCACTTAGCATGAACCTGACACAAAGTAGGTCCTCAATGAATGTGTAAGTAAATCAAATTCTGTAAAAAACTGGTTGAGCATAGAGGGCATAGAATGATGACAGGGGAGTCTGATCATTCTCACTAAATACTTTCTCTGATCCCATCATCAGAGAGCTTGAGTTGTGGTAGCCCTTTAGACACAATTATTTTTATCCCTTTATTATTATTCATAAGTCATCCCTGATTAGATTTTCCCAGATTCAACCAGATAACATCAAGCTGCTTGTACACTATCCCATTTCACTGTGTTGTCAGCTTTGGACTCAATGACAGAACTGAGGAACAGCCAGTGCCAATATCAGTTTTCTCAGAACTTCCTCCTGGGGACTGAGAGGGATACAGGGCCTCCTGGGGTTTTGGAAGAAGACCTCAGAGCTGTGTCTCGCCCTCCCAGACTGGCTTTCTTTGAGGTTGTCTCAACAGCAAATCTTGGGTGTAGTAGTTTTAATAGCACTGCAGAGAGCCATAAACAGGAATTATAGGCATCATAGAATTAAAAACATGCAGTGTGGAATTAAAATTAGAAAGTGACTTTTTTTTTTAACCTTGTCCCGGAAACATAGTAGCTTAGCACTGCATTCATCAGAATACCACTTCTGCCATCTGGTGGCCGTGACTAATAGCTAGCCGACAAGGGCCTTGCTCCGCAGATGCCGGAGTAAGCTCCCTGTAGGTTCTCTATTTGGACAGCCCAAAGGTCCTGGCTTCCACCAGCAGTGAGTGGATAATGAAGCAGAGACAAGTGAAGCTGTGGTGGCGGCAGCACTGTGCTCCTTTTGGAGATGAGGCTATAAGGAGGGAGCTGATGGGACTGAGAGCAGAACCTTAGAAATTGGCTGCTTTTGAGATCTGCTCAATAGCAGTCCCTTCAACAAAGTCTACTGAGCTCCAAGCATTGTGCTAAACCTAGGATTCAAAGGGTAATAACTAACATTTGGGCCCTGTCCACGAGGAATGCCTGTCTAGTGAGGTAGTAAACAGGGAATTCAACAGGGATGTGGGTGCTCAGAGGAAAGGACCGATCATGCCATGGAGCTTCAGAGAAGGCTTCCCAGAGCAAGTTGCACCTCAATGCATTTCAAATTATTTAGAACCTGATTCCTCTCCCCCCCGCCCCCCACTTTTTTCTTGGCAGTTCTTTATGCTCAGAGCCAAATGGCTTAAAGTAATGCCACTGTTTGTTTCTAAGAAGAGAGCGGGAGAAATTACTAAGTGGCTATAAAGAGAGATTTATATTTTATATTTCCTTCCTTTCAAGGTTCAGGGCTGAGGTCTAAGTTCCATTAGCCTAAGGGAATAACGACCAAGAGTCTACTGCAGTTTCAGACTCCAGTAGATGAATGTTCTCCCCACCCCACCGCCAGAAAAAAAAGTATTATTAGGGAGTCATTAATCTAGCCTGCCTCTTCCCAGCCTCGGGCAAATGAAAGAGAGAGATTTAAGAAAGTGTAGGAAGGGAGCAACTGAATGGGAAATTGAGTTGATGTGTCCCTCCTGACTCCCTTCCTCTGACCTTTTCCTAACCAGTGACACCTGTATTCTACTCGTTATGAATTTTAAAATGTACCTTTTTCTTTGTGCTGCCCGTTTAGAAAAGCCCACTGCTTGCTTGCAGAGAAAAACAGGTGGTGGCAGTGGAAAGACATTTATTTCAAAAGGTCTTTCCGATGAACACTGGCTGTGGCGGCAGTTTAGCAAAGACTACCTACCAGTATGTGACTTTGTACCTTGGACTTGTGAGGGGTCATAAGATTTCAGGCCCTGGGCAGGAGTGTAGGCTGGATTGGGCAGGCAGGGTGGCTGTTAGTGTGGTGTGTTGGGCAGGGTGTGCTTTGGAGCTCGCTGAGACACCCAGAGAACAAAACTGTGCTCTTGATGCCTCAGTGATTCTTGTTAAGAAGCCAGGAGTACTTCATCCCACGCATGGAAATTTCTTGGCTTTCCCCAGAGGTAGCTTTACTCCTAAATCGGCCAACTGTCCTCATTGGGATTCCTATACTTTCTCTAGGAGCCCAGGATTTCAAAGCCCTTTGAGTGTTATACATGATGGGGCTTAGACGGCTGCAATGGTGTGGTCACAGGTTTTCTAGAAAAGAAAATGTAGATAAATAAATAATTGCATGATAGAAAGATAAAAGCCCTGATGTGTAGTACCCACTAATTTCTGTGATGTAAATACTCCCACCGTGGCCCACTTCTAAGCCACCAGTAGTTTCAAAACTGGTTTGCAAAATTCCTGAACACCTAGCAATCAGCACTCCTGAGCCAGCGTGAGCTGGCTCCACCACCTACTGGATGGCTGGGAATGTGTGTTTCTGGCACTCCCCAGGAGACTCTGGCACGTCTGTGCCTACTGTCCACTCCAGCATCAATGTCACCAAATCTTCCCCCGTTGTCCTAGACTTTTTTGTTTTGTTTTGCTCACGTTGTTTTGAAATGAGGCATGTTGAAAAATGTACTGCTTTTTCCAGACTCTGAGCCATCTTGTAGAAAGATTACAAGATGGACCCACTAAAATGTAAGCGCCAGTCTTCATATTAATGTGAAGTGAACGTTTAGTTTGGAACCATTCTAAAAATCTTACTTGGTATACAGATGAGCTAGATTAGCAAAAACTTTTTTCTAGCCTTTTGCTCATCCTCCCAAAGGGGAAAGAGAAATGGAAAATGCCAAGGATGTTTCTGTATCGTTGCTTTTTCTGCCCCTAGAACACCGCAGCCGGAGCGATCGCCGGGAGCAGAGAGCCGCTGTCCCCCTTTCTGTAGTGGCTCCTCCACTGCCAGCCTACCCCCCAGCTCACAGCCAGAGGAGGCGCGAAGTAAAGGACCGGCACTTCTTAACGGTGAGCTTGGCGGCCAGCCAGCAGCCCTGTCCTTGCTCATCAGAAAGCATGAGTGGGTCTTGGGAGTCACAGTGGATGAAGCTGGGCCACGTGAGAGAGCAAATCATGGGCATTTGAGAGCAACTGGAGTTTCTTCTCCCCTCTTTCATTCATGCGTCTTTTGGAGAATAGAGTGGGGATTCAGAAGTATTTTTTTAGTTAACTGGTTGCACAATGCAGCAAAGCAATAATTGAGGACTCTAACGTCGGAGGGAAAAACTTGCTTCAAACACCAGATTTCCTGCATACAAGCTAAAAGACGTAGGGCAGGTTCCTTCTTAGCCTTCAGTTCCCTCCTCTCTAAGATGGGGATATTAACAGCATCTACCTCATAAAGTTTGAGGGTGAAATGAGATAAGACATGGAAAGAATGTAGCACAGTGCCAGGCACAGAGTAAGACCTCGATATATGTTAACTGTTACTGTTGAATGTTAAGCGCTAACTGGCAGGCGATCGTGTGGATGACTCGGTGGGGGTGGGCTGAGAAAAAAATGATGTGAAAACTTAACATATGAAGATGAACCATTTCATCATTTTATGCTTCCCCATTCTATAAGGGAGGCTAGTTCTGCAGGGTAACCAGTTACCAGAGGGCCCCCCTCACTGCTAGTGATTTCAGCTTTGCCTGGGTGGGTGTGGCTGTAATGCAGCCCAAGCCCCAAGGATGGATCACAGATGAGCCCAGAACACCTACAAAGTCCATCACCCTGGGTGTGCTTTCTAAGGCCTCGGTGGGGATAAGTGCTCACCTATAGAATTGATCTTCCATTCAAGTTCTACCCCTCAGACCTGGAGGGGACGCAGAACACAGATCTATGCATTAGGCTCACAAGGGCTGCACACTGCTGCAAGAGAAAAGGCTGCAGGGACTGGGACCGGACCCTCTGAGGAGGGGCGATGACTTCTGTGACCCAGTCAGCCCACATGGCTGCCAGAGTGGGTGGATCCCTGCTCCTTTGTCATTCTGGTTTGAGGCCAAAATCTAAAGAAGTTACAAGTGTGGGTCCAAGTTGAGGTTTTCACATGAAATGAAGTTTGTATGTAGGAAAATACACCCTGCACCTTTATGGTTTTTACACTATGCAAAATAGATGCGAAATATTTGGACCACATGACACCAAACATGCAGCTGAGAAGAGACTTCATCTAAATGAATCTGCATGATGTACCATATCCGGATAAAACAGTGAGTGATAGCGAACAACACACAGACATTAGGCTTCACAGACTTCAGGTTCACCGAGTCTACTCGGTGCCATAGCACACTCAACTACACTGCTGCGGTGCAGCCCAGGGGTAAGAAAGGAAGGTGACAGACTCTTAGGGCTTTCTAGGTCTTTATATAGAGCAGTTACACATGCTAGTGATTTGTCACAAAAGCCCCTGCGCGACAAAAGTTCTTATTAAGCTCAAATCTGCTTGCTAAAGCATTTGCTTTTAATGAGGCATTTTCTGCATAAAAATGCTAAAAATATTTTTCCATTCATTATAACATGTTTTGTGGCTCATTAAGTTGTTTTTTCCAGGGGGGCGGGTGAGAGAGAATGTTGAACATTTACAGAAATGACATAAAAATATCACCATTTGTCATAATCTGCATAATTTTTAATAAAGTCTAAATACCAAAGTAAGGCTCTAGGAAAAGGCCTAAAATCATGAATAACAATGAAGGTGCTTCATTGACCCAACAAACATCAATAAGAGAAGAGGTCTAGATCTTACTTATGTAAACCAGAAAGTGTACCCACCTCAAATGCTAATACTTAGTATTTCCAAGTAATTGGGGAAATTTTAACTGTTTCATTTCTCTGAGTTTGGGTCACCAAGTTCACTGGAAGATCTTCCATTCAAGTTCTACCCCTCAGACCTGGAGGGGACGCAGAATACAGAACACAGATCTATGCATTAGGCTCACAAGGGCTGCACATTGCTGCAAGAGAAAAGGCTGCGGGGACAGGGACCGGACATTTGCAGCCAAACTGCTAGATAGACCTTTTCTTACACAGCAAATTGCTGGATACACGTTTTCTTAGACAGTAACTCTCCTTTCATCTATGAGACTTTAGTTGAGCCATTTTTTTTCTTCCTTTAAAAAAGCATTCCTAATGAGATTCTGATACATGATCTTCCACAACCCTGCACCCTACACACTGTAGTTTGCTCGTTAATGGTATAGACTGTGAAGTCAAACTGCCTGCATGTGAGCACCAGCTCTACCGTTTGTTAGCTAGCTGTGTGACCCTGGAGTTAATCATTTCAGTGTCTCAGGGTTAATAGTACACAGTACCTCACAGGTGTGAAACAAAGATTGAATGTGTTAGTACACGCGAATAGTACCTGATGCACAATAAGTACTCAATATGTATTGGACATCACCATCATTAATAGCCAATCAAGTTCGTGAAATATCAGTGATATACAGTAATAAGATTATGGGTCTAACTAGATTTAAATCCCAGCCCTACCATTTTCTCAGTTGTGTGATTTTGAAAAAGTTACATCTTTCTGAGTCCCAGTTTCTTGTCTGTAAAATGGGGATAATAACTTCAATTTTAGAAGGTTGTTAAGAAGACTTAATACAATGTTATATAAATACAATTAAATTGTATATGAAAAAGTTCCCAGCATAGTGCCTAAAACAAACAGATATCTGAAACTATATTCATAATCAGGATAAACTCTAACATATAGTCACATATAAGACTGGAGGGAGTATAAGTTGTTACACTTTTTCTAGAGGGCAACTTCCCAATAATTGTCAAAACCATAAGATACTAAATTATGCTAAGTGAAGTCAGACAAATACCATATGATTTTACTTCTATGTGGAATCTAAAAACCAAAACAAATGAATGAACAGAAAACAGACCCATAAATACAGAGAACAAACTGATGGTTGCCAGGGATGGGTGAAGGGCAGTGGGAGGTACAGGCTTCCAGTTATAGAGTAAGTCATGAGGATAAAAGATACAGTACAGGGAATAAAATCAATGGTATTATAACAGTGTTGTATGATGTCAGATGGTAGCTACACTTGGAGTGAGCATAGCATAATGCAGCATAGACTTGTCACGTCACTGTTGTACCCCTGAAACTAATGTAACATTGTGTCTCAATTATACTTCAATAAAAAGTAAATAAAAGTGGCCAAAAAAAAAAAAAACCTGTAAGATGGGGCAGCTGGCTGGCTCAGTCAGTGGAGCGTGCAACTCTCGATTTTGGGGTTGTGGGTTCAGGCTCTACGTTGGGTATAGAGATTAGTTAAAAAAATAAAATCTTTAAAAAAATACTCTTTGATTCAGCAATTCTATGTGTAGGAATTTATCCCCAGGCAATAATGGGACTGTATGCAAAGATGTATTCACTAAGGTGTTCATCAAAGCACTCTTTCGAACAGGAAAAATAGTTATGTTAAATGTCCACGGTAGATACTTAATTCTGATATATTCTAGGATAGAATACAATATCAAAAATAGTGTTATAAAAGAACACTCAATGGGGCGCCTGGGTGGCTCAGTCAGTTAAGCATCCGACTTCGGCCCAGGTCATGATCTCACGGTTTGTGAGTTCGAGCCCCGCATCAGGCTCTGTGCTGATAGCTTGGAGCCTGGAGCCTGCTTCGGAGTCTGTGTCTCCCTCTCTCTCTCTCTGCCCCTCCCCAGCTCATGCTCGCTCTCTGTCCTTGTTAAAAATAAATAAAAAAAATAAAAAAAAAAAGAACACTCAATGAAATGGAAAATGTATATATTTTATCAGAGATTTTTAAACAGTGTATAAGACTGTGTATAGTATGAGCTCAAAAAATATGAGTGTATATGTGAGTATACACACACACACACACACACGTGTAGGAAAAAGACGGGAAGGCTTACATACCTGTGGTTCCCAAACTGTGTGCTGAGGTACTCCAGGGCACTGTAGTGAGCTCCTAAGGGTGCACTGGGATATTGTAAATTTTCAAGAGCTACAGTGTCCTCTGTTTGTATCTGGTGATGGCTCCAAAGCAGCCTCATAGCTCTTACAAGTGGAAAGAGGGGGTGCTTGGTTTCTTGACATGTGATTTAAATAAAAGTTCTCCAAGGGGAATGCACAGGAAACTGACCACACAATTTAGCTTTTTAAAAAAACCCTCTGTCAGCTGAAGAGTCAAGGTTTGTTTCCCAACTTTAAAGTCCATCTGGGAGTCCTCCTTCTTCAAGGGTGGCAAAGGAGATAATCTCAGGCCGCCAGATGGTTTTCCAGAGGAATTCTACTAAAAACCTTCAAAGTTTAGATAATCCCAATGCCCTACAAATTGTTTCAGAGCACTGAAAATAAAGTAGAACTTCCTCATTTCTTTTATAAATCTTTTATGAAGGTTTGATACCTAAACCTGGTAAAGACTGGGAGGAAGGGAGGGGGAGGGAACCATAGACCAATATCACTCATGATTATTAATGCGGAAATACTAAACTAAATGTTGGCAAACAGAATACCACATTAAGAAATTAATATACCATGACCAAATGGGATTTATTCTAGGAATGGAAGGTTGGTTTAATATTAAGAAATCTATTAGTATCATATACCATATTAATTGATCTAAAGGAAAAAAAACCCATATGATTATCTCCATAGGTGCTGGAGAGGCCTTAAATAAAATTTAACACCTATTTTTATAAAAAGACTTGAGAAAATAGGAATTGAGTGGTACTTCATTAACACAATAAAATATGTACACCTTAGTCCTAAAGCCAGTATCTTAATGGGGAAACACTACAGGCATTTCCACTAAAATCAGGAACAAGGCAAAGATGCTCACTATCTCTGCTACTAATTAGCATTTTACTAGAGAGATTAATCAATGAATTAGACAAAATCAATCAATTACAGGCATAAGAATTAGGAAGGAAGAAGTAAAGCTATATCTAGTTGCAGATGATATGATACTATAGGATTTTCCTGGTAGACAATCAATGAT